GAGAGAGAGAGAGAGATGGCTCCCATGGTGAAAGACCTTGAGCAAGAGTTGAACCAAAGTAAAGAATAATGCCTAAGAGCATTCTTGCACCCTCAAAGACATACAGGCATTAATTGTTGCCCTAGATCACAAACTTGATACTATGTCTTGTCCGTGAATCAAGTTTAAAAAGAGATCATGTCTGTTAAACAACAAGCATGCAATATTAGTCTCATGTGTTCTCTGCAACCTTCACCTACATTAGATCCTTCCTCAAGAGAAGGTGCTTCATCTAGCAATCTTCTATGTCCTATGTTCCCATGAACAGTTAAGCTAGACTTACCTTGCTTTGATGGTGATGATCCAACCAGTTGGATTTATATTGCTCAGCAGTTTTTTGCTTTCAATCAAGTCTTTGAGGAGAGAAAGGTACGTCTTGCCTCTTGTCATTTAGAACAAGAAGCTGTTCAATGGTACTAATGGTTCGGAAAGGTCAGTGAAGCCCCCACATGGAAGGAATTAATTACATCACTATGCTTACGTTTTGGCACGAGGGAATCTGAAGACTTCACAAGGGCATTAACTAAGCTTGTCCAAACTACCTCAGTGCGTGAGCACCAAACATAGTTTGAGAGATTGGCTTATAGAACAACAAGACTATCATATTACTTTTTTTACCAGTTGTTTTGTTAGTGGGCTCAAGGAAGAAATTTGTCATGATGTGTGAATGTTTAAGCCAACTGCAATTTTGGAAGCAATAGGGTTGGCACTCCTGCAAGAATATTAAGCTCAAAGACGACAAAATAAACCTGTTGTTGCCAAAACTCCCCACCAAACACTGCAGCACTCACTCGAATCTTAGCACCCCATGTTATAAAGTTGTCACCAGCAGAGATGCGAGAACAACGAGAAAAAGGGCTATCATATCATTCTGATCAGAAATACAACCCCAAGTATCGCTGCAAGAATACATAAGTTATATTTGTTAGACGGGGACATTTCTGAAGAAGCAATTGAAGCCGACAAAGAATGAGGATGACCAACTTCCATAAGATTTTCTAGGAAAACCTAGAAATCATGCACTAGCTGGAATCAACTCTTCTTACATGCAAGTACAAGGGTATTTAAGAAGCATCATGTCATCTTTCTGATTGATTCAGGTAGCACCCATAACTTTGTAGACCCAAAAGTTGCAAAGCAAGGTGAACTTTATTTTTACCGTTGCAAATGTTTTGAAGTAATGGTGGCTAATGGGGGGAAGCTAGCTTGTAAGGGAAGATGTAGAAATATACCGATAACCATGGGGATCATCAATGTAAACTTGATATGTAGGTTTTATCCTTGGGAGGATGTGACATGGTTTTAGGACCATTTTTTATGGGATTTCTTTGGTTTGTGGATGCAGTTCACAGTCAATGAACATCAATATACACTAAAAGGGGTGTAGCCGGGTTACAATCCCAACAAAGATCATCTATTCACATCACATGGAGAAATAGGTGCGCAAGGGGTCTTAGGGAATAGTTGCACAACTGTTCTCCCTTTCAGCAATGGTGGAAACTTCAGAATACCCTTAGATTACTGCTCTATTAAAACAATATCATGATGTATTTGAGTAAACAAAGGGTTTACCTCCACAACAGTCTCATGATCAAGACATTACATCTACATTAGAGAGTAAACCCCCAAACACTAGACCTTCTCAGTATCCATTCGTACAAAAGACCGAAGTAGAGAAGCTTGTTCGAGAAACGATGGAAGCAGGTACCATTCGTCCTAGCATCAGCCCTTACACTTCACCTGTTTTCCTGGTATGCAAAAAAGATGGGTCACAGATAATGTGTGTAGATTATCGGGCCTTAAATAATATTATAATTAAGGACAAGTTTCCTATACCTGTAATTGATGAGGTAGTAGACAAGCTACATGGGGCAAGGGTGTTTCTCTAAACTTTCTCTGAGTTTGAGGCATCACCAAATCCGAGTGAAAGAAGAAGATGTTCCCAAGTCAGCATATCGACCATGAGGGCCATTATGAGTTCTTAGTAAATCCCTTTGACCACACAAATGCGCCACCAACCTTTCAAGGTTTGATGAATGAGGTATTTTGACCTTATTTAAGAAAATTTATTTTGGTATTTCTCAATGACATTTTAATTTATGGTCAAACTTGGAAGGAACATTTGGATCACTTTCTTGTGCTTTGCAATCACTGTGGGAACATCGCCTTTATCTGAAGTGCAGCTAAGTGTTCATTCGAAAAGCAAGAATTCTAATACTTGGGTCACATTTTTGAGGTAGAAGGGGTCAAGGCAGATAAATTGGCCTTTTCCTAAACAGTAAAAAGCTTGTGGGGTTTTATTGGACTTAGCAGTTATTATCAAGAGTTTGTAAAAGATTATGGCAAAATATGTTGTCCTCTAACTGCCTTCTTAAAAAAGAATTCCTTCCGTTGGATTCTAAAGCCATGATTGCATTTGATGTATTGAAAAAGGCAATGAGCTCTACACCTGTATTAGCTCTACCTGATTTCTCCAAGGATTTCATTATAGAGACTGATGCCTCATGGACTAGGTTGGTGTTGTGCTTATGCAGGAATGGTGGCCTATAGCTTTTACAGTAAGGTTTTATTAGGAAAAAAAATGGCAGTCCACCTTTGAGAAGGAAATGTTAGCAATTATCCATGCCATAAATAACTAGAGGCCACATTTGGTTGGACGATATTTTTCATCCACACCAACCATCATCCACTCCCCGTAAGTATTTTTCATCCACACCCCTTAAGTATTTGGTTGGACGATATTTTTCATCCACACCCCTTAAGTATTTTGTAGAACAGTTGTGACTTCTAAGCAACAAAAATGGGTCACCAATCTCATGGGATATGACTAAGGGATTTTCTATCTTAAGGGGAAGGAGAACGTGGTTTGCAGATGCCCTTTCACATTGCATGAGGAACCGTCTTCTCTTTATGCTATATCAGTAACTCAACCTAAGTGGATGGATGCCATTAAACAAGAGTGAGAAGAAGATGATTCTATAAAAACTCTCATA